ACACCGCATGCGTTGAATGTAGACCCTTGGTACAAGCAGTATTGGTCACTATTCACAGGTTGAACCCAGGAGTTACATCTTTGTTCCCGTTCCTGACAATATCAAGCTGTTTTCTAGGAGAGCTATTGAGAGAAGAAACGCCCTTCCCTAAAATGTACACACGTACGTAAAAAGTTCACCCCTTCCTGTTAAAGAGAACGAGATATTGCTCGTCTCTCAAAGAAAGAAGGGGTGATCTTAGAAGACACAAATAAGCAGTTGTCAAACAGTATTTAAAAAAAGGAATGAAAGATATGCTGTAGTATAATACAGTCTTTTGTTACTGAAGAATAATAAAGATAGAAATCAATGAAAACCAAAAACTGTGCTAGAGGACAGGGCAGGCCACCTCTGGAACAAACTGTCCCGTCCACTATAAAAACACATTGGCAGGAGAAATTATTTGCATCAACTTTTTTTCTTTCGGTTATCCAGGTCGTGCCTGCTTTTTAGCAAAATATTGTCTGTTATCATTCCAACATTATGTACTAGTCATTCGCTTTGAAATCAATGGTACCAACTTTTGCTGTTTTGAACTGAAAAGCTGGTGACTGCAACTTGGTTGAAAGTGATTTAAGACTGACCCTCGTCTAAAAACAAAAAGGCCAAAAATTGGAGCGTAAATCTCACCACCAAAATTTGAAAGTGATTACAGTAAATTCCAGTGCAAATAATTTCTCCAGCACAGTAACTGACAGCCCCTCAACCAATGTCAAATAATCCCGGCGTATCAGTTTTGAAGTTAATAGGAAAAACAAGACTCCGGCTATACACCCGGTTTATATTACACGCTAATCACTACAAAGTATAAAGAATGGTATATAATACAGAGAATATATCCATTTATAGTAATAATCAACAGCCTATATGTAGAAACACAGAGAAATATGACAAATTGCCAGGTATAAAGTTTTGCTTACTAAGGAAAGATTCAAAGGTGTTTTATACAAAAAGCATGCAAGTATGAATAACCTTAAAGGAGTGTGCACAAGAATAAGTGGGTCTCGTCAGAAGTTTTGACAGTTATTGGGAATGAGATTGCATTATAAGGCTTTACAGTTGGTTATTGGGTTGAAAAAAATAGCATTGTCAATTAACAAATATAATTTGTGCATTCATTTGTCCAACGTTAATTGAAACAGGACAGGTGAGGGAACTTGAATCAATGCAATTTAATTCCGAATAAAACCCAAAACTTGTGACAATACCAACACATTTCTTGAATAATTATTAAAGATAAATGACATATGTTTTTGTTATACAGACTACAGCGTAGATGAACAGTAAACCAAAGCAGAAATACGGGATGCTTAAGGAAAAATAAAATCTTGCAAAAAAGTAGAACTTGTTACTCTTTTTCACCCTTAAACAAAATTCATCACTTAGCTCAACTTTTGGGAATGTCGCATTTCTGTAGTCATTTGGTACGATTAAAATGTACAATACGTAAATGCTAATCACCTTACGACAAGGCATTAAACATCAACTTAGACGCAAAGCTTGCAAATTCAGAATGAAGAAAACATGATACAAGGACAAACTACAAAATATACAATTTTTACCTTGTAGTGCCCCCCATCAGAAGGTAAGAAACAAAACTGTAACTATTGCCAGTTGAAGCATTGTAATTCATTGGCCATTTAAATCCTGTATACAAGTCTGTCAGGCTAAAAATGAAGCACCTTTAACATGTACAGTCTGGCAGCTGACTGGTCAAAGCCATGATTTCCCTAGTCATGCTAAAGGGAACATGACCTCACTTGTGACCCTGTTTGAGGGTTTACAAGTTTTGATTTGTCTATTTCACAAAAAAAGTTGAATATTTCAGTTTAAACAACCATCGTTGAAAGCAGGTGCCAGTTATTTGCCGGTGATATAGCAAAACTTCAGAAGCCGAGTTTTTTTTCCCCGCAAAAGATAGAAGGCGGCAAGAGAAAAAGTTTGAAGATGAAAACTGCCATTAGCTTGAGGGGCATTAATGGAGCCAATCTGGCCAGAAAACTAAGAGGAAAAAGAGGGCAAATGAAATAAAAAGGACACACACATGATAGAGGTAAACATTTAGAGATATACATAGAATTAGAAATTGAAAGGTCAAAGGTCACAGAATATACCCTGGTAAGCCCAGAAGCAGACTGATGGTTTGGCAGAAGAACCTCCACGATAAGTTTTGATGGGAACATCGTATGAAAGAGGTTTCTGTTTAGTATGGTTGACAGGCCATCAATCAGGTTTTTTTTAATACTGACCAGAGTTTACATTCTCCTGGACCCCAAACTAAGAAAAGTGCATTTGCTGGTGTAGAGTGAGAGACCCAAGAACGAATCTGACGAAGCACAAATATAGCTTTTCAGGTCTGCTTCTGGGCTTGACCGCATTTTGTAATAGAGCAAAGAGTAAGGAGGGAAAAAACACATGAGTACAGAAGATGTACGACAAGAGGCTAGGGGAAAATGCATCAGAATTCCCGCACAATGAGAATGAGAAGGGAAAAAAAAGGCAGATTTGAGACAAGAACAGTTTAGAAAGTTGAGGCAAATGACAAGGACACATAAGGCTGTTGATGTTTAAGACAGTGTAAGAAAGGGCTGTGCTAGTAAGAGTGAATAAAAGTTTCTTTTAAAAAAAGAAAAAAATTCAGTGTTTAAGGCACACATTTTTTATTGTTTTTTTTTAAATCATTTTTTTTTTTTCAGCCTTCTTTGTGGAATGATTTCCATAAAAGTCAAGTCCAATATCAACTGTGTCGAGAGGTTGCTTGGCGATCCAGTGTCAACCTTAGGTTTGATGACATGAGCCAGATGCAGGTTTCTATGGCGACGACCTCTCACCTCGCCTTTAAAGCCCGTTGTCCCTTTTTGTTTTGGCCACTTTACGAATACTTGATATTACATATTTTCCAACCGTCCAATATTTTTCCTGCCTTACAAGAAAGCAAAGGCGATCCTCTCTCCTTCCACAATTTTTAAAAATTATTTTTGTTTTGCTTTATATACAAGATTTATCAATAAAAAAAATTGTTGAAGGATGCTGACCAACTTTCAATTAATACTGAAAATATTGCGTGACGTTGGGCGGTTGGAAAACATGTCGCTGTATTACTTGGTTTGTTTTAATAATTATTCCATTTGTTAATATGGAAAACCATTCCAATTTCAGGCAGTTAATATACAACTAATATTAATAAAAACATCATGCAACTATGTCTCCAGACAACAGACTCAGTATCTACAATATCTGCGTTATATACTCTTGAAAAAAAAAAAATCTTACACTTTTTTTTTGTTCGTTCAATCTACAAGATATGGAATAAACTTTACTTGACTGGTACCAAAATATATATATTCAAGCCTCCAAAATTCTTGTTTCTTTTTTTCTCTTAATAAACACCCCAAAACTGTTCTCCAACAAAAAGGAAAGATGAAGAGTTAAAAAGCAAAACAAACCAAAACCTCAAAACCCTTGAAAACAAAAAGTGAAGTGGAATGACCCTGCGGCTGTCATGGCCCCTAAACGGACAATGAAGGATTTTTAAAAATACATTTTCTTAAATTAAATGTCTCGGTAAAGATTGTAAAATTTCGGGCTGTTTTGTTTAAATTCAACAACAAAAAACTTCCCAATTTTGGGGCACTTTGTTTCATATGCTTCACCCTGTTTTTAACACAGAATGATTCAGGTTATTAAACTGCACTCAAAGAAAGCTATCCCCCCCCTCCAAAACCTCAAAAAAAATTCTGATGGTGATATAATTGTTAACCAAATCACTGAAATAAACTGCAATTTATCAAGGAATGCAAATTACTCAACAAAAAGTTACAAATTTAAAGAAAGACATAAACTATAAACTTATAATGTCATTGATTTTTTTGCTCTCAAACCCGGTAACAAGTCAAGGTACTGAATTGTTCATTTTTTTCCCCAGAAAAAAAAGTTTTTGGGACATTAATAAGAATTTAAAAAGTATAAATAATTTGGGAATATATACGACACGATCAATGGATGGATTGTCTTTGTGCAGATATACAAACAGGACTTTGGGTTAAAATTTCATCATTTTAACAGTTTTTGTCTTAGTTTTTTTCTTCCCTTTCTCAAAATGTATTATTATTAAACCTCTTTGCTCTATCAACGTTAGTATATACAAATGACCTCTAACCTGTCAATGGTAACAATAATATTATATTAATCAGTATTACAAATCTACGTATTATTGCCAAAAAATGCACATTCTTTAAAATAAAAAAAGGTGTCCACTTTTAACAGTGAACATCCACTTTTGTTTACTTTGCGAATCGAGACAGTTGAATGTCCGAAAAATACAAGTCACAGTATCTGTCAGTTTAAGAAATTCGGATGTGGGGATTTTTGGACCCAGAAATTGTTAAACGATAACAGTGAAATATCATTTTTTTTAATTAAAGAATTCATATCCACAGGACTACCATCGAATTTATTTAAAAAGACCACCACAAAATCAAAGTATGATGAACCACTGATATCACGTTAAGACGTAAAAAAAACAATGTTATCTCATTAAAAAAGACAATGAAAACTAGTGATTTCTGATAAAGTTATTATATAACTGCATTCTTTACGACTCAAGGAATAAAGTACAATCAAAACATGCATCAAAATAGAGAAAAACCAAATACCTGTCACCACAGCAAAAAAAAAATCAAAAAATCAAAAAGACACAATGAAAGGTAGCGAACACTTTCCAAACACTGTGGCATCTATTCTAAAGATTTACACTGGAAAACGAAAATCAACACAAACACATCCATGGCCGTGGGGATTTTAGAAAAAAACTGACATTTTGTGATCAAGAAATGGTACTTTTCATCATGGCGATTTTTTTAATGACATCCCTCTCGATGCGAATGAATTTGTTCAGTATCTTAAAAAAAAAAATCCCAAATACATTTTTACTTTTGAAACTTGGTGAATTCTTTTTCTTATTTTTTCGAATGCAAAATATCTCTTCTTACAGTTTCCTGTAAATAACATCAAAATCACAAAATGAAGGTATTTTTTTTCTCAAAACCCTCTCCCCTTACCAATCAGAGAAAAACAAAATCCAGATATATTCATTTTTTTTTCAATATGAATGATAAAAGTTTAATTAAAACATGCACAAAATGGCCCTCTTCATCAGGTAAAATCCCCCAGTTTATGACATTTTTCCCGAACAACTGTTCTTGTTTTTTGGTCCTTGGACCGTAAAGGAACACAAAATACAAAACAAAAACAAAATCTGTGTATCCATGGTTACAACATTAAGATCCTTCAGCAGAGAGTCCAGAAGATGAAAGATGAAATTGTTACCGTCCCTCGACAACAGAAAACCCCTATACCGTGATCATGGTATACTCCAAATGAATACTATCATACATATCTATTATGCAGTTTAGGGCATGCTTCACTCTTTTGACAGGGGTGGGAGAATCACGTGGCAACGCTTGACTTTCAAAGATCGTCTTGAATCATCCCCCATTCCAGGCAGTAAAATGAAACAATCCCAAACTTGCACCATTGACTTGGAGTATATTCCATTCAGTAAACAGGGGTGTTTTTCTATGACATCTGTGTTTTGGAGAAAGACACCCTCAGGTGATTGGACTCGCTCAGCTGGTGATTGTGCTGCGCCTGTTGAACAAAAAAATAAATTAATAGATGAAGTCCTAAAAAAACAAAATTTCCTTTTAAAAATTTATATTAAAAAATGGAGATCATAACTTCACATCAAATTTTTTAAGGCAAAGCGAAAACATAACAACTTTAATGTTAAAAATGTAACGCAGCTTGGAAACTAAAATTTAACTTCTTTTACCTTTTTCTCTGCTCATACTGGTCAGTCAAAAATATATAAAAAAACTTTTGAAACTCAGTCATTCAATGAGGAAGTCAGACAAACAGTTCACACGAGACCTCACTTTCCCTTTCCATCATTTTCTATTATGCATTCTTTACCAAATAAAAAAACAACAACAATGAAATCCAGTGACTTACAATGAGCGCGTGTGTAGCCTCTTCCACCGAACCCATTTGGATCAAAGCCATACGCCGATCCTTCCTGTTGGCAGAAGATTTTAAGAAAAAAATATTCAAAACTTAAAATCCCATTTTTCATTTATCATATCTTATGAACCTGTACACAGAGTGGTTCGGTAGAATAATGCGATGTTTATACAGCACTTCATACCAAAGTATCGAAGCGCTTCACAACTACGCCTGTTCTTCAGACTATGAAACCACTTTTCTGCGGCAGCTCGAGATCAGCGCAATCTGATCTCTACCTTCACAGGTACACAGTTATACTCCTGGGTGGAGAGAGGCAATCGTAGTAAAGTGTCTTGCCCGAGAACACAAGCACCATACATGAATGTTCCCCATCAGGGTCCGAACTGACGCATGAGTCAAACATTGTAATCGTGGGACCGCGGCACTAGGATACGAAACACCTCTTTCCTGGAAACATCCAGGAAAACAAGACAAGGCAAAGCCGGTCCCAGAGCGTACAAAATTATATTCAATTGATTGAGAATGGCTATTCACTGGAAGTCGTTTCATGCATGTGGCCTACGCAATGGGCAGGATTTAGACCATTTATTTGCATTGCTGGTTGATCATATGCAGTAGCATTGCCTGGCACATAAATGACAGTTTTCAGTCAGTCAGTAAGTCAGTTCGTGAGTTAGTTACAAGGAGCCACAAAGGAAACGAGATAAACTTACGGGAAAAACTTGAAAGACACAACTGTTCCGTGATTACTAAAGGCACTTTTAAGTTCCTCCTCTGTTACGCTGGCTCTGCGTCGACAAAATGAAAAAAAAATGAAAAAAATAAAGATTAATGTTTACAATGAAATCTGTCTCTATTAACTGAGAAACACTTGTCCCAGTATCCTATAAGTCAGTGTAGTGCTAATATTCGTACTCATACTAAAGTACTTTCTTTTTGATACTTGAACTCATACTCATAAAAATGTACATGTACTCGGGGATACTTCTGGGGGAAAAGCTTTGTACTTGAACCAAAGTACTCATACTCATGGAAAAGTACTTGACTATAATGCTACTATAAATTCATTTGAAATGTCACTGTTCCCTACAAAGGACAATTATAATCCATACTGTTTGTCAAACTGAAGGGTCTTTAAGCAAAAGTAACTTCTGAGCCTGTGACGGTACTTTAATACAGGGTGCCCCCAATAAAGTTGTGAAAGCAGATATCCTTTAATTTCTCAAAAACTACTTAACATGAGGATTTTACCTTGATGGAGCATATTATTTATACTCTTGTGTATATTCAGTAAAAATACCATGGAAATCTGTTCATGCAAACCAGAGATCTAACAGATTATAAAAGGTAATGGGATGGGATGTACAGTTAACTTAATTTCTATCAGAGTTAAAAGGCCCATGACAATCTGATGCACTGATATCACTAACTGCACATGTAAATCAAACTGGAATGGGTGAAAAACCCATAGCCTTTTAAAAGCTGTTAGCTTTCTGGTTTGTATGAACGAATTTCCATGAAATTTTCACTGAACATACACAAGAGTATAATTTATATGTTCCATCAAGGTGAAATACTCATGTTGATTAGTTTTTGAGAAATTAAAGGACATCCAGAGCTTGCACAACTTTTTAAAAATTCTATACAATTATTAACATTTGGGTGAAATCATGTATTGGACAATATGCCTTGTTCTCAACAACAAAAAACTGAGAAAAAATGGAACAGGGTTTCTGAAGGATTTGTAAAGAAACAATTTCATAAATTGGACAAAATACCTTGTTCTCAATGAATCTGAAAAAAAAAATGGAAAAGGATTCCTGATGAATTTGCAAAAATAAATTAAACACTTACGGAATGTTGGAAAGATGAAGGGTAGCTGAGGGTGGGAATATGTTCTGGAAATTCTTGGAGCCTGGCTTCTTGAACCGGTGCAGTGGTGAGTTGCCGTAGTCTTTTGTCAGGCCCGCATCCTTCAACACAAGACAAGGTCAAACAAACCATTTAAATTCCTCAAAAGGACAATACAAAATGTATCAACGAAATCTACAAAACCTCTCAACTCTATTATTTTTTACTGAAATACAAATGTAATTCTGATGTTAGTAATTCTGATGTTAATTGCTGGAGGAATCTGGAAAAGAGTGGGGGAAATCCTCACCGGTTGGCCTTCTCTCGGCATGGCCACCTCGCGGTACTTGGAGGGCGCCACTCTCAGCTGTTTGGTGTACAACTTGATACCGTTCAGATTGGCCAAGGCTGCAGGTCACAGGGAAAGAAACAGGACAAAATGAAAACAAATTCAATACAACTGACTGGAGATAGTGTAAAAAATAAAGGCAAGTGGAAAAACAATCAGAAGTGCTTCTCATTACAAAAGGACTCATGGAAATTCTGATTTAACCCTTTAGTCATGTACCGCCCCAAACCGCCCTGCCTGCTACTCCCTGTACCGCCAAAAACTGCCCAAGCACTCTATGGTTTTATGGAGTCATCACCGAATAAACACAATGAAATGCAAAATGTTTTAGATGTGCTATAAGTTAATCTTACTTCATTGATAAGAAGAAGTAGATATGCATTTGAGGGCATCGCCGAAACACTACTCATTTTGAAATAAGCGAGTCGCGAGAACTATTCATTGTCTTCAAACCACCCCCCCCCTAAAAAAAAAAGGGTTCAACCTTAACTTATTTTTTACTAGCCAGCCGGGCTACTGAAACAGACTCTTAACTAGCCCGCGGGCATTTTCACTAGCCCGCATGTTTTCCTTTTATAGAGTGTCTCATAAACAACAATGTGCATACATCTAAAACTTGTATCTTGAGGCAATCCTGTCAGTGTTTTTAATGGATACAGGTTTGCTTTTTGAACTGAATGCTTCATTTCTTCCTGTCCTTTCATCTTTGCCATAGCCCAATAATTTTTGACTCGCCAGCTGGGCTACTTAAGGAATAGTTTGACTAGCCCGCCGCTGTTTTGACTAGCATTTGGCTAGCTGGCTACTGCTTAAGTGGAACCCTGGTAGGGGACGAAATAGAAAGTGGAGGGGGGGGGGCGGAGTATCTTTTAGAGAGACTATACGCACCTGTCTGGGACTGATGGGGATCAGCCATTTGAATGAGAGCATTGTCTCTCTTCTCATAGAGAATCTTGACTCGCCTCACATCACCGTAAACCCCTGCAAAACCAAAGCAAAGACCATGATTACATTTTGATCACTTCAACCACCAATGATTGACAATTTCAACCAAAAAAAGATACTTATTTGATTTCAAAACTTTCCTCAGTTTTGTAGGGCAAGTCAGTTACAGAGTTAAGGGTTTGCATTGTGGCAACCATGCCATTTGTGGTTTTAGTTTCTTATCTAATTCTTTTTTCAATTAGTGTTTTTCTGACCTAAAGATTTCTGCACGCGATTAATAAAAAATAAAAAAATAAAATAATAAAAAAAAGACGCTTTCAAATGACTTCGCTTGCCAAGTTTCTGTTCGTGTCTTGTGTCCGCAAAGCAACAGCAGAATTTGAAGTGAAATTTGGGAAACCACAAGAATTTTAGAAACAGTTTCTTCAAAGATAACCAAAAAAAAAAAAACTGCAGAGATTTTGGAAAAATAACTTAAAACATTTATTTGGGGTAGACTAAACATTCACTTTTAAAGATTTGAAAGCAAGATAAATCAAAGTGTAGATAAATAAACTCTAATGCTTCATATTAACAGAAACAGCAGAAGGCAAACTTTTCAGAACTTCCATCTAAAAGACCCTCACACCGAAACTAAAAACAAAGCCCAATTGAAAAAATTGCTTTGCAGAACTAAAACACGCCAAACTGGAAAAAACCCAAAGCCTTTAATTAAATAAACAGCAACGCAACAAAAGGGGAAAAAAACAAAAAAAAAGAAACAGAGCAGCTTGGGGCGTGAAAGCATTTTTTGCAAACGTCCTTCAATTTTATTTTTTTAAAAATAATTCAAGACAATTATCGGAAAATCTAATTTTTTACTTCATGAATGAAACATTTTTACTGTTTTGCTTTACTGGCAAAAATGTTAAGGAAATTTCCATATTTTTTTTTAAATTCACATTGAGATGTTTCTTCAAAACGCAGTCCATATTAAGATTTTTAACAATTAATTAGAGATATGGTCTTTCTCAAATATGGGAATTGAAAATTATCGCGTAAAACACCACAAGAAAAAAATACAATGCAAGCACATGCATGAACTTAAAGGAAACCCCATATAAAATGTGAAGAGAGAAATCATGCAAAGTACCGGTATAAATGTAGTCTGACCTTTCGTGGTCAAATAAATGAGCAAAATGAGAAAAAGCTGCCCCAAAGGGTAACACACGCAACAACCCCCCCCCCCCAAAAAAAAAATTAACAAAAATAAGACAACGCTAATTATTAATCACACCTCAAAGGGTTTTCACTACAAAACACAACAAACCACTTCAAACCAAACTCATCTACAGAACACCCCTTCATTTAAATGGACACTTCCTTTCACTTTTCCAAAAAAAACCCCTGAACTGCATTCAGTGAAAAGGTGAACAAATGTTTTAATAATTATCTTGCTAAAAACCATTCCAAAATCAAAATCAACTTTTTCTCCCCAACAGTGATCCAATTCATTCCATTTCAGCAAATTTAGAATCCAAATTATAGAAGGTTGCAGAAAACATCCCCATTTTTGGATGACCCAATCTTCATCAATTGTGCATGAAGATTGGATTTTAATAATGTCGGAAGTGTCCATTTCGTCAGAAAGGGGTGCCTATAAAATCTTCAATGCCCCCATCTTGCTTTTCCTTTCGACAAAACAACTAGTATACCGAGTTTAGTAGCAAGTGTTCCTTAATTTGAATTCTTCAGTTTTATAGACACTGCCAATTCATCAAAATATTTTGGGAAAGCTCATAACTAAAAAAGAACCTTGAAAAATTGCAGTTCAAAATTGGTGAGAAAAACACAATGGCACCAGACTATGACAGATTTTGGAAGTTGCACCTTAAGTTTCTCCAAAATCTTTTTGATTGGTTATAATGTCGTCAAACAGGGGAAATTACTATGTTGAATACATGTAAGTACTTGTAATCAGTCTTATTTTTTTTGTATACCAGACATTATTTTTCTAATCAATGATTATTCTGTTATGCACTAAATATTTGCTTCCAACAGTCTGGTACCATATGACAAACATGGATTGAACACTGTGATGTGACTTCTGGGTACTAGGCCAGTTGGCCAATGTGTGGAAAATTCTTCGACAAAGCTAATTTCAGTAAAAGCTGGGGGCATTAAAAATAAACGCTAAGCAATGGTTGGGGAGGGGTTAATCAACTTAAAAAACGGGGAGGGAGAGGGGCCATTTTTGTAACAGTTTCTTGTAGAACTGTCTTCAAAAAAATGTGACTGCAGTGAAGAACTTTGCCAGCAGAAATGTGTGTAGTGAAAGTTTACGAAATTGTTCGAGCAATATGCCTCATGAAAATCATTTTTCATTTTGTTCATTTTTTTTTCTCCTAGGAATGTGTGTCTCATATTTTTTACAATGTCACACAATGTCACACAGCTTGTGAAGACAATTCTGTCCATAAGTTACAAAAATGGACCTGGGGTGGTAGGGTATGGGGTAGGGGGTAGGAAAGGAATCAGGTTCAGGTGTGGGTAGGGGTGGGGTAGATGATGGGTAGGTGTAGGGTAGGGGTGGGGTAGGGGTGAGGTAGGGTGAAGTAGGGTGGGGTAGCGGTGGGGTAGGGGTGGGGTAGGAGTGGGATAGGGGTGGGATAGGGTGGGGTAGGGCGGGGTAGGGGCAGGGTAGGGGTGGGGTAGGGTGAGGTAGGGGTGGGTTTGGGGTTGGGTAGGGTGGGGTAGGAATGGGGTAGGGATAGGGTAGGGATGGGGTGGGGTTGGATGGGTGGGGGTTCAAGTGGGATAAGCTGGGAATCAGATGGGAGAGGGAAGAGCGAAGGGTTTGGGCAGAGATGGAGAGGGTGGGAGAGTGGGGAACGGGTTGGAGAGGGGATGGGTGAAAAGGGGTTAAGGGTGAGAGGGTCAAGGTTGAAGGGTCGTACCGGTGGATTCAGGCAAGGGGAGGGCGAAGGAAGGAATTTGGACAGGGTGGCCTGGAACACAGCAGGGCAAAGGTTAAGGATTGGTGGTATGAAGGCATCAGAAATGGGTAGGGAAACAGGGTAGGGGTTTGGAAAAAAAAGGGGTGGGAACAGGGTTTTAGGGTAAGGGGCGGGGACAAAAACGTAAAATAGTGCATACCAAAGAGGGTAAAGAGAGCCTGAGGTGTGACCAGCTATGCGACACGTGTAGAAGGCAGAGGTTGTGAGGGCGATTACAGCGACAACATGACACAGAGGAGGCGGAAGAGAGGAGAGATATGGAGAAAGAGAGAAAAACAAATCAACAAATTTGTATCACAGTTGATTTTTTCTCAGGTTATCATTAGCAGGGTACGGTATGTGTCGTGTCGCCTAAATATCAATATATAAAAGGACACTGTATACACTTTGTGTAACAAGGAATTTTCATAATGAGGAATCCTTCAGGATAAAAGGATAAAAAAAATTTAACATTGTGTCAGAACAGAAATGCTTCTCAGTTGGACAGGTTAAATCAAATGTGGGATGGGATAAAACTCTTTTTAATTACTGTGTTTTTGCTCCTTCAAATAAAGCACAAAGTTTAGTCAGATTCCCTTTGTGGTTGATTTCAAAATTTCATCCTCTTCCAGTGATGGCCATAATTGTGCTAATTCCCATGTTTGCAGGATTGCTAATGTTGCTAGCAAATAAATAAACTCCACGAAAATGCTAAATTGGGAGATGAGAAACATTTCTGGCTCAACAAACAAACAAACAAACAAAAATTACAAAACCAATTTGTTTCTTTTCAGGTTTTTCAAATTATATTGCAGTTTGGCCATATTCTTAAGGGAAAGGCTTAAAAATGTGGGGAAAAAAACAACCGAATAAAAGCAAACTACACTGGAATTAAAAGATCAAAAAGTAAATGAAGCTTCGAAAATCATTAAAATAAAAAAATGGAAACAGGAATTTGAAAATCTACCAATCTGAAAAAAAAAAAAAAATAAAAATAAACTGTAGCTGAAAAACAAGACCAGTCAAAAGATGCAACTACAAAGTAGAAGGCCCCCGAAACCCTTGCATTCTTTTTGTCAAGGGAAGCCTTTAAAGTCTCTGGAAAAATCAAGAAACTAAAAGAGAATTGGAAAAAAAATATCAAACAAGAAAACCCAAGTCTTGAATTTAAAATTCAAAAAAACAAAAAAAAAAACAGGTTACGATACAAAGAAGAATGTCTTGTTTTATTCTGGGACTTTTTTTTCATATTATGATTTTTCTGTATTTAATAGTTGAAGCTTTTCAACGTATTCTGAAAAACCTGAAAACTACGTCAAGTCGTCAACCAATACAGGGACATGGTAATTAACTTAAGATTTGAAACTCGGCATCGTGGTAGTGTAAACTGGTGAGGGTCTACGGTAACACCACATAGAAGAATCTCTTTTGAGAAGATGACGTGCGGTTTGAAAAAGAATGTTTTTTTTGTTGAAATTCGATGTTCCGATCAGTATGCTCTGATCGTCTTCAGGAGAAAAGGTAAAAAGACATGGTAATGGTGGAATAGGCCTGATTCAAGAGGAAGCCATTTTAGAATCGTGTTCCCTGCATCTATTCTATAAATTGTAAACCGTCGAATGGGATGGTGCCAGACTATTTTGTGATTGGAGTGTATTCCAAGCCTCACTTTCATTTTTTGTAGCTTAAAACATTAGGGTATGTTTAATCACAAAGTTAAGATTATTCATCGGAGCAGATTGGTATTAATTTATAATGAACTTTTATTTCATTGCTTTCATTTCTACTCGCAAGTTCCCCCCCAAAATGAGTTTACCTCACTTTCAATTGAATATGGCCGACTCGTGAATAAAGTCTATTGCCATCAAATACGTACTATACCACAACAACTTTTTTCTATTTTGGCAGTTTAAATATTTTTTTTTTCTATTTTAAACGAAAGTTTCTTTTCAAGCATTTTGAATTGGCAATTGACATCAAATTCTAATTTAAAAAAGTGTTTGGACGTATTTTTTTTCAGAAAGTGACTTATTTTCTGTCCAAGAATCTTCTCTAGGGACCCTTTAGTTATATTAAAGGAGAACATGTATGCCTCGGTCTGGCCTGACCCACTGCAGAAGGCCATCAACTGAGTCGGGAAGGCCAGCCAACTGGGTTTGGGAAGGACGATCAACTTACTTCCGTGTTGAGGTTGCTGACCAAGAGTACTGGCGTTCCTTGCATGTTCTGCATTCCCTGCATGCCCTGCATGCCTTGCATGCCCTGCATGCCCTGCATGCCGTGCATGCCGTGTAAGCCTTGCATTGCGAGGGTGTTCTGGAAACGGAAGGCCGCAGCCGCAGCGTTGTGCTGCAAGTTGCCGCCGATGAAGGCACTGCCAAGACCTGGGACTGATGGAGAGATGAGATCATGGAGGGAGGGGAAAGAGTACAATTCAGGATGAATCAGTGAACCAATTCCTGCTGAAATCTCTGAAAATAAATCTTGTCCTGTTGAATTTTACATGTAAATTTCTTCACACGTCTTGGTTTGTCCTTTGACAATTGTTAAACACAATTATTAAAGGGAATGTACAACATTTGCTTTTGCTGCAATTTTCAGAAATAAATGGATTTTGGAGGATTAGTATGTTGTAGCAAATGTTTTTAAACTAGGCTTATTTCACGTTTTGGGCTTGTAGATGCTGGAAAAACCAAGAAAACCAATCATGTTCTTGTAGTCTGGTTCCCTGACCCCACTTAAGATGAAACGAAGCAATTTATAGACTTTGGGAATTGTAAGGTCAGAGAATCAGTCTGGCAGGCTTGTGCCCCTTCACAGGTGTGTAAATCAATTGCAAAGAAAATGCGGAACACCTAAATATGAAAAATTCGGAGCAGTTTTTGAAAAAAAAAGCCAAATTTTCTTGAAAATGTCAGCACACCAGGAGCCACGATTGTACAGAATGCTTTAGACTGTCATTCCCTAACAATCCAGTATGGTCTTTCGTGATATTTCGATAATTTCTTTTTTTTATGTTTGCAAATGTTGTATCTTCCCTTTAATAATGAAAACTTCCATCACTCTACTGATTAAGAAAGGTGACACCGGCACTACAATAACTTAGTGAGTGACTTAAGTCACAGTTCGTGCCATAGTTGCTTATCGAGTAAATTCAAATTCACGGTGACACACTTTTAATAAATAAGAAGATTCCTTAAACTCAGCTCACAATCCAGACTCTAAGAAAAGGAAAAAGCAAAGAGTGAGATTCTTAAAAACACAACAGAAAGAAAAGAAAAAAAAGAAAAACAAAATCAAACATAGAATGGCAACAATGATGTGAGTAAAGGTTTGGAAATGAAAATGGCAATTCTGGATCTAGGCGGATCAGTCGTGGTGGATCTAAGTGCGCTTCAGCCAGACACTACTGCCGACAAGTCCGTTACTGGTCCATCACAAGTCAATCCCCAGTCCGGTCACAAGTATGTTCACAAGTCCAGTCATAACTTAGTAACAGGGGATGAACAATGACAAAGGATTGCCTGTGTCACGGTTCATTTGTATAACTTGTGACTTGAATTGGGACTGGATGACTTGTGATAGACTTATGATAGACTTGTGAGTGGACAGAACCTTCAGCACCCACCCACTGCAGTTTTCTTCGACGTTTTCAGAATGCATTTTCTAAACAAACAAAAACAGGTGAGTATTCCATGTCTAAATACTGAAACAGCTCCTCGATCCACCACCACCCCCAAAAAAGAAGATACACAAAGCGGCAGAGATGAAGCTGAAGAAAACAAGAGAAGAGACGTACTCCCCGAAGCACATTGTCTGATACAATAGTGAAAAGAAAGCAGTGAAGTTATTCCGAAAAAAAACCACCAATCAGCACCAATTGCTTTTTGGGTCAAGCTTGTCAAAAAGTTATAGTTTTAGGGGGAACTTTTTTTTGAATGGTGAGGTGAATGGATTGTGAAAGGTGCTGCGGTCATGAAAAGGGATCGCTGATTAAGCAACAAAATAATTGAGTGGTGCTCTGTGCATTGGCTTTGTGGGGGTATTATTCAGAATTACATATCTCAACAAACTGTGACCTATTTCCCCAAAAATCTGGGGGGAAAAAGAGGGTTTTTATTGGTCGTCACTTCCAACGAACTTGAAGACCAACAATGAAGACCAACAATGTAATATTTTGCAGCCAGCAGGTTCGCATCCCACTCTAGCCAATTTTAAAATTACCAATAATTTTTCATGTTTCAATGCCTATGAAAGTTCCTTTTTTTCCCCTTCTTTACAATTAAAAAACAACAATTTTAAAACTTGATTTTTGAGACTTCTTGCCAGATTGAAATTTGATAGAACATATGTGTATCTCAAATGATGGAAACCCAATAGCTAGGAGGCGAAGTCATCTGTACTTCTGAGCAGGAGATCATGGGTTTGAGTCCTACCTGAGCAACTTTGCAAATTTGTAGGCAGAGGTCCTTAAAAAGCCCTGCAGGTATGTACTATGCTTTTGGCATTAGGTGAGCCCAGGGTATAAAACTTGGTGCTTGGCGTCACTCAAATTTCGAGGATTAAGCTTGTGTTTTTAATTTCCAATGACTAAACGTTTTTATAGGAAAATGGTCAAAACGTAACACTTTTCCTTTTTTTTTTAAAATGCAGTCGGTGAGCATCTTTGCCAGTAACAGATGGTGGATGCGACACTCCAGTCAATCTTTGGTTCACACGAGATGGTGTGGTGTGACAAATATGGTGTGAGCAAAAACGCAAACACATGGACCAAAAAGCAAAATTGATTTGTGGTTTAACACCTATGATATAGCAGGTGATGTAAACATTATAACACAGACAATTTTTTTTTACTGATTTCTTTTTATTTTAAATAATCAAAATTTATATTGTCAGTTTGTTAATAGGAACATGCAAGTAGTAAGTGGAACAATGCAGCATTTACTAAAGGCCATGATGTGTTAATCAAATATGACCACACTCTTACGGCATTTGTTCACGCCATAACAGGTAAATTGAGTTTGGTTCAATCAACTATACCTTACAGAATTTCAAGAACTCATTTGATACAATGTACTTAAATTATTGTTTAAAATATAGATTTCACACCTTTTTGTTTTAAATACAAAAAGTCTAACGTTTATTGTATTTCACCGATACTTGTTGGACTCAAAAATAAAAAAATAGGGGGATGATAAAAAAGAAAAAAGAAAAAACATCGCCGCCGACTTAAAAAGTGAGAAACCCCGTGAAGTATAGTGGTACCGTCTAAAGGACACATAAAGAAAAGCAGAGGGTCATTCCACAGCTTAGAGATAGGGGTGAGGACACTAAGAAAAACAAAATTCCGAGGAGAGAACCAGAAATCCAAGATTTGAAGTTTTTTTGCCAGAATCGCCACGATAGGGACAGAATCAGAAGCCGAGAAAAGTTTGAGAACAAAGCCAGGAAGGAGAGAGAGAAAATACAGCTTCTGAAAAATTTGGTGTTTTTTTCTTGTTTTTTGTTCTTTCTTTCGTTTATACCTGCTGCCGTTGGAAAGCCCGCTAGCGTGGCCGCTGTCGGACTAAACGGCGACGTGCCCAGCGTGGCCATCTGTGTCAATGCATTAGGCATCATCCCATGTCCTAAGTTAGGAGGGAGAAAAAAAATACGCGAACCACCCCGAAGATTATCATTGGAGTTAATCGAGAAGTTAACCAGAGAGAAAAATTCATCCGCATTTTATAAGGGACAAAATAATAAAACAATTGGAAACAAGAACCAGAGTGCAAAAAAAAGGGTTATTCTGCTCAGATTCATATTTTTTTGGTATGGAGTGATTTTTTTTAACTTAAATTTACGGCTGAAGTTTGAGGAAAGGGCGTAATTATGAAGAAATTTAATTTGGGTGGGTTTTGTAAAATGGGCTTTTTTGAAAGCTAGATTTATCAGCACAATCATCAAATGTTATTTTAAACAATTCATTTTTTATCAATTAATGTTTTCCATGCAAAATGGCATATGGAAAATAAGTTTAACATGGCAGACAGAAATCTACGGAAAGAACAACTTTTTGAATTTTCAAAAATTGTTTAGAATTAATTCCATGCAGTTTTTTTTAGAAAATATACCGAGGACAAATCATAAAACAAAATAGTGTGACGAAGGAAAACATTTGGAACCAAAACCTGAAAGTTGATAAAAAACATTTTTTTAAAAGAATTCCAAAGTTTCCAGTGCCAGACAAAAATGGATTGTGAGTTCTTATGAAAAATAATAAAACAAAACTGGTGAGAATGGAGTGAAATATATTAGGGTGAGGAATAAAATAAACTAAATGATGAAATGAAGCATGCTAGCTGCAAGGCACCATCGCGACTCACCCATGCACTATGTGAGTTAAATTTGAATGAAATCTGGTACCATGACTTGTTACAATTTCACATGTCAATTCTTAGTCAGAGCATGGAGTCTCCAGTCTCTGGATAATGAAGTGGACACCAGACACACAGACACCCGACTTTTCTAGATTTAGAAGTTGCTGACATAAGGCAATAAAGGGCCCATGAAATGTAAAATCTGTTTAATGCATTCCTTGAAAATGCACCTTTCTGCCCATTTAACCTTATTATCAATTTTCTTTTTGCCATTTTCAAGGGTAATTTAGTGCCTTTTTTGTTTTTATGCTAATGCCAATTTCTGTATTCATGAGCAAAAGTGTGATGTTATTTCGGACAGAAACCTCAATGTTACAAAGTTGCCAGAATTTTGGATATTTTGCTGTCGTAAATTGCCTTTTCTTCGGCGATTTCTTGTTGTTTCAGTACATGGCCATAAGCCAATGAGCAAACTTTTCTCACAGGTGTTTTCAGTGAGCAAAGTTTTGGGTTCACAATTTGAACAGAAAACCCCCAAGCTGAACAGTGTCGTCCTGAAATGACATCACAGCAACAGCGCCCTCAGTTGTCTGGAAAAGCACGGCATTTAAAAAAAAAAGTTTAAATGAGAGCACTTTTCAATGAAATAAATCAAAAAGGAATGTCAAATAGTTTCCATACAATTAAGAGGAGTAGAAAGTTACACAAAAAAATGCTCTCAAGTAAAATTTATGTCATGAACCCCGTATGCCAAATCATGATGGAGCAACAGAGTGCATTGAAGTATTCTGGGGAATTCAAATATGAGTAGTCGAGTATAATAAACTGTTAGGCTGCGACTACGGCTTGCCAATAGCAATGCAGCTGAATCTATCTTCCTTAGATGTACACTACTGCTAGCCGTAGTCAAGTAACGCAGACGCAAGATTTGTTTGTAAAGGCATCATTCAAGTTTAACTCACATGTACAGCTAATGGTTAGCAAGCTTCTTAAAATTCAGTAAACAACACCATAGCAAAATGTAACTATAGAATGCATGTCTAAACAATAGGACCAATAAAGAGAACAATTACAACAAGTGACAATATTAGGCAGTTCCAGATTTGAAAGCTACATGTATTTAACTCCCTTACAATGAAAATTGGAAGAAATGCATTGTTCCAAAAACCCTTTTATTATTAACGCAGCACTTTTCTGAAGTGGAAGTTAACAAGAAATCAGAAGGCACATTCAACATGCAAAAACATGCATGTGACCTGACTGTTCAATTGACTGGTTTGGACTGGTTCAAAGGGTTTTGTAAAAACCTAGGCATCAAGGAATGAATGACTTATTCCCCCCCCCCCTTTTTTTGCAACTCACTCATTTTTATTTTAAGGTACGACTGAATGGGTCTAGAGGAACAAAAGGATTGCTGAGCACCAAGAATTTACGCTTAGCAGAAATGGTAGCCAGCCTGAAGTTATGTCTAATGCCTCCACTTTTTTGGGTGGGGGGATGTTGGCTACTCAATATTTGCTGCTTTTTTTTTTTCTGCAGAATGAAACTAGTGCATAGAGATATTGCAGCTGATATTTTTTGCCAAGCGAGTACATTTTTCGGGGTGGGGTGGGGTGGGGTGGGGGTTGGAATGGGCCTGATGTGAGGAAGGGGCAGTGTTGTAGTTGAGTACTTTTTTCCGAGTACCGAGTACTGCCGAATACGTAGGTTACAGAGTAGGAGTAGGAGTACTTGTACTTCCGAGTACAAGTTCAGGTCTCCGAGTACGAGTACCTGTATTCTGAGTACGAGTACGTGCACTTCTATTTCCAAATACGGCCATACAGCTAATGGTTCATTGTGCGTAAATGGCCCAGGCCCAGTCAGACCGATATACAGACCCACTCACAGCTACCTGTTCAATGTGTTTGTCTGGTCGTGCACAGAGAAAAATCTGGAAATTTTGATTTCTCTGCAAGCCTATCAACCATTTCCAACTGAAAGTATCGATAATAAAATACGGCCGTGGTAAGTCAAGCTATACCATTTGAAATTTTTTTGTGGAGTACTGCTATTTGAGTACGAGTACCTTTATGATCGAGTACAATTTTGACATGTCCAGTACGAGTACTTTGCTGCCCGAGTACGAGTACCGTCATTTCGAGTATGCGTACTTTGTCATTTCGAGTACGAGTACTCTAAAAAAAAGTACACGAGTAGTACTTTGAGTACGAGTACCGAGTACTACAACACTGGGAGGGGGTTGAGGTATGGGGGTTGGGGTGGGGGCCGGCTGGGGTTGATTGGTGGGGTAGGGTGGGGTGGAGTGGAGTGGGGGTTGGGTGGGGTTGGGTAGGGTTAGGGTGGTCATGATTTCTGCATTACCCCCTAATCCTGCCAACCCATCCTGGGCACCGATACTGTCCCCTGTTGGCAGATCTCGGGTGTAGTCCCGGCTCTTTTCGTTATTGTACTTGACCACCAAGGCAGGCAGCTTGGAGAACTCAATGTGCAGGGTACAACAGGCATTGTAGATATTCTGTCCATCTAAGGCCTAAAGAAAAACAAACAAAAAAACATCGACTATGGCCTACTTATATTTTCTCTCTGGTTTACAGATGATGTAGTGACAACAGGGGCAAATTACATAGAGCTGCTTAGGTACGGAAACTTGCTACCTAATCAATATAAAACTCACAGACACCCAAGCAATGACAGAAGCATTGAGCAAGATGACAATTATTCCAAACAATGGGTCTTATTCTTGAGCAGACGAGGGCCCCTGAAACAAAGTTATGTGGGGGTTATAAAGAGATGAGAATCAGAGGTTATTGATGTACAATGTAGATATATGTACATGGTAAGCTGACACACAGCTTCAGCTCAAAAATGACCTTTCTACAATTTTTGGTTTTTAAATTTACTAATGGGATTTTTCCAGGGATTTAAAAAAAATTGTTAGTACCCAAAATGTGGCATCCCACATCGCTAAAAAAAACCATGTGAGGCGTTCTGGCAGAACTGGGCAGAGGACAAAATGAAAGTTAGAACATCCCTACACCTCTCAACTGTACGACACCAGGGGCCCCTCCTTTGGAATAAAATTCGATCTCTCTGCCCAATGACCTCAATTAGAGCATGTAAATTGTATTATAAAAAACTACTTCTCACTACGGCTAATATCAATGGTGATTAAGAGCAAAATCATTACTTTGTTGCAAAGTAAAATTATTAACAACACATGTAAAGCCAAGGATGGTAAATTTACTTCAAGTAACTTATTCTTTTCTTTTTTTTGTAAAGTTTTGCATGAGCTCGTGAATTTAATGTAATGACATATTATTGATATACATGTATCCTATGATTATTCATGAATTGTATAACTACATGTATTCTTTGTGAAGGGGGCAGACCTACATGTAGTACAAGCTTCGGCTTCTTGTCTGGCCTCCCCATACTATTATTTCAAGTTCCGTTAAAATGTTTACCTGATGTATATTATTAACTTAATTACCTTATAGTATGGAAATAAATAAACCTGAAACCTGAAGAGAATAAAATTCTCCTTACAATACTGTTTGTTGCACTTCACTTGGACATTCTCTTGGTTGTTTAAAGTTCACATTTATCGACATGTCAATTACATGCTTCAACCCTAACCCTACCTACTTCATCAAAATCCATCCCACCATTTTTGGGGGATTTTGGCAGATAAGCCATGTCTACCAAGTCCATCAATATCTACCAGCACCAGTCATGCCTGTGGTTGATTTCAACACATTTTGTCCTGAAGCATTACGTGAAGCAGTGTGAGTGATGAGATTTTGATGGACATGGTCTTCTACTTAGTAAAACCACATGTACATGTAAGTAGGGAGTTAGGGTTAAATTTTCAAGTTTTGTCGAGATGCCAATTGTTTTTTCCTTACAAAAACACTTTAATTTAAAAAAAAAATGTACTACCATTTCTTTAAACTCTGTGCAGTAGACATATCAAAGATGACAATTAGGTGAAAGTTTCCCTCTCATTTGGACAAAATGACATCTATGACAAAAATGACAAAAAAACAGAAAGGCAGTTCAGATCTGGAATCATGGACCAAATACATGAACATTCCATTTCTTGACAAGAACTTACACTTTTGGCCTGTGTTGCTTCACTGCTGTTGCTGAACTGAATAAGGGCCTGGAAAACATCTGAGCATTAAGAAAAAAATTGAAGAAGAGTTCAAATTAGTCTAGACTTTACATGTAATACAAGCTCTTGCACAATGGAAATCAATATTATTTTTTGATGTTTTTACTCGAGTGCACAAAAATATCAAATAATTTTGTAAAATTTATAACATATCAAATAATTTAGTAATTATACGATATCAAATAATTTAGTATTTGATTATTCCAACTTAGACATGATCGAATAATCACATACTATATGTTTGAAATGCACTAATCAAGTTAAACATGCGCCAGCCGAAACTGGCCACTGATCTGGTTTTGCGTGTGCCTACACTTGTCGAAAATTGAGAGAAGAGCTTACTAAATAACATAGAGTACAGGTAGCAGAAAGGCTGATATTTGACCAATTTTACAGAAGAAATTTGAGCAAATTTTCCTCAGGGACGCTTATAAAACAAATAATATCGTGCTTAACATATTTTTTGCTTAGCACAGATTTGCTTAACGAAAACAGCTTACCAGTCAAAATCTCATGTAATGTATATTGCTACTGACTGGTACTCTGTCAATTTTCAGTTAAGTACAAAATTGTTCAAGCTCTCTGCAGGTAAATTATCTGAAACTTGCTTGCGCCAACTCACTGTTTTTGGTGAAGGTGACAATCTTGAGCACCGTGCCGTACTTGGAGAAGATTTGGTGTAATGTGTCCACGTTGACCGGGTAGATCATGTGCTCGATGACGGCCCGCAGGACGTGCTGTGGTCCACCGGGGCTGTCGGCTACCTTATGCAGGTGGCTGCTTGAGAGCTGGTGCTGGGGCAGGAGGGCATGGGTGGCCTGCAACGCCGCCTGGGCCGCTACGCACTGTGGGTCACAACGGAGAAGGGACGCTCAAGGTTAAGATATTAAGATAAAAAATGAAACACTGTTGACCTGCAACGGTGAAGCTGCCTTTCCTTAAGTGCCATGTCCGTCTGTTTTGTGTACACTGCAAATTTAGAGCTGCGGACTAATGCAGCAAATGCAATAAGAAGCTATTGTGGTCTCCGTGCACCAACAGTAGATGAGGCGCTTTGTGACACTTTTGCGAACTCCAGTGGGAGGGGCACACAGGATGCGCGCACTCAAACGTGTTCACATCGTCGATCGTGGACGTCCTATTGTCCCTCTTTTGTTTGTACTCTAACTTTTTGGAAGACTCCCATAGGTTTTGTACAAGACCCCAATTGCGGACATATGCTGGGAATCGTGGACGATAATGTTCTCTTTTGTTCTCTGGAATTTTTTGTCCACGGTTTGAATAGATGAACACGCCCACTGGTACGAGCGTGCGCGTACCGTTACAAGTACGCACATCTGATTCTATTCTGACTCGATTCACATCGAGCGCCATCAGCAATGCGTTCGAATGTCCCTCCCAGTGGTCTCCCCCAACTCTCCCTTTGAAATGTTGAGGGGGTACTTGTGCACGAAAGTCAATTGAAATGGCACCACGCTCACAGTTCACACGCTTAAGTTCAAGTTGATAAACAAGCACACTGTTGCAACCCTATTGGTTGAAGGAACAGTGAGTGTGCAGCATGTTCCTAACCCTAACCTTACCAACTCCATCAAAATCCATTCCCTCCACTTTGGTGGATCTTGGGGGACTTGGTCCTGCTAGCCCGGTTTGACTAAATGGTGATGGAGTATGATGGACTTGGGACTTGGGTATGATGCACTGGGGAGGCCTGAAGCACTTCTGGGGGAATCTGATTGATTTTGTCCCGCATACAGTACTGCTGTTGTCATATAAGCCATGTGTACTAAGTCCATCAAAACCCACAACCATTTTGGTGGACATGGTCCTCTACTTAAGTACCGTAGGGAGTAAGGGTTCATGGCTTCCTGTTGAGGTCAACTGAATGAAGTCTAACATACACAGGGTGAAATTTCACCATGGACATCAGCCAATTTTGAACTGTTTAACATACAATATGTGACCCCAATCAGCTCAGTCACATTTTTTACTGTGAGAGCATTAGAGGTTTTGACACTCCGCATGTGACAGTTCAAATGTGATTGTGCTAGGGTTATTTTGTCTTCGCAGTTTTTGTGACTTTTTCGCCCTTTGTATAATTTACAACAGAATCAACTCCAAAACAGATTGAAAAATGCACTTATGGAAAGGTAGTTTCATATACTAAAAAACATATTTAACTCATAAAAAATCATCGGTCGCCCCACAAAGTGACGTATCGTAGATAGTTGTTGCACCACGAAGTGATGTATCGTGTGCACAAAGTCCATAGATGATCCGTCAAACTGTGGCACAGCTTAAGTATCATATTCATCACTTGGTGGTGCACCCAACGAATTCACAAAAATATTTATAATATCTTTTTTCCAATTGGGACCAGAAGATATTAGAGCAGCAGAAAGTGAAGGAGTGGAAAATGGGGGTTTTGAATCTAATGTAGCTGTTGATATTAAGATTTGACAATATGACTTGTAGAATAAATAACACTACCTGAACTTCTTTTATTTTAATGCAAATTTTTTTTTTAACTGCTTTGTCTTTTTTTTTTCTACCAACTTACAACCCAAAAAGTTGAAATCTGAAGTCGCTTTCGCAGAAGAGTGAGATTCCAAGCCACACAATAGTTACATTCAGAAATTAAAGATGAAAATACTGTACATAAAAGATGAAAAAATTGAAAAACAGAAAAATACAAAGTGACACCAACAGAGACAGTGTTCTTGTCCAGAGAGCCAGGAGAGGAGTCGCTATCAGAAAGAAGACCCCCGGCAGAGGAGGGGCTGTTTAGCACAGCGTTGACAGCAGCCAGGGCAGCCTGTACCGCCACCGTCTACAAAGTGGGAGGAGTCAGAGAAAAAGGGAGAGGGCAGGGTTGGAGGAAAAGAAGGCGTGGTTTGGGAGTGGAGGGTGTGGTTTGGGAGTGAAGGGTGTGGTTTTGGAGTGGAGGGTAAGGTTTGGGAGTGGAGGGTGTGGTTATGGAAGGGTGTGGTTTGGAAGTACCGGTAGAGGGTGTGGTTTGGGAGTAGAGGGTGTGGTTTGGGAGCGCATGAAGGGTTTTGTTTTAGAGTGGAGGGTGTGGTTGCGTGAAATGACAGGGATGAGGTTAGAAGGCATTGTTAGGGAGTGGAAGGTGGCATTGGAAGCAAACAAAATATGGGTTGGGTAAAGTGAAAGGGGTGGGGGTTGAAGCAAATGTGGGCGGAGCAATGAGGATGCCATTAGAAGTGCAAGAGTTTGGTTAAAGGAAACAATGGCGGTACAGAGGAGGTGGGCATGGTTGATAAGCAGGTTGGATGACGGCGTGGTTTGAAGGAAGGCGTCACAAGAAGGTAGGAGGTAGGAGATGGAAAGTGGGTGGGGTTAGAGGGGCAGAGGAAGTGGGCGGGTAAGAAGGGAGTTAAGGTTGGATTGAAATGACAGAGTCAAAGAGAAGGTGGGATTAGAAAGAAGGAGTCAACAAGGGGGTGGAGTTAAAGGGGTGGGGTCAGAAAGAGGGTGGGGTTTGAGGGGAGGAGTCAAGGGGAAAATTGGGTTGAAACAGAGAAGTCAAAAGGGGTTGGTGTCAGGGAAGGAGGAGTCAAAAATAAGATGGGATATGGATGCAGGAGTGAGAATTATGAGGATCAAAACAATGCAAAGACGCCCAAAGAGGGTTGGGTCAGACACGGAGACAAGACATGATCATGAAGGGGGGAGGGGCATTGATGGGATGGAAGACATGCAATGAGATGACAGCATCAGAAGTATCAGATAGAAAATGTTGAGATTAAAAGAAATGAAGGCAAACCAAATGGATTGGGTCCATGACAAGAAGAAAACAAAATGACGATGGAATGGAATGGCGGATGGTAATTCATGACAAATATGTGTATTGTAGACACGATGAAAGGGGCACATCATTAGGCAGATGAGATGGAACATTTTGAAGGAAATACATCAGAAATAGAGAGGGAAAAAGGGGAAAGAAGACAAAGAAGAAAAGAAACAAAATATTTCAGATATTAAGAAACTGTTAAGTGCCACAGATGGAGTAAAGTCAAAGATAAAGTTTCAAAGTTTACTTTAATACATGTAAATACATGCATAAAACCCTTATTTTTTCAAAACTCCGACCCAATTTATAATTCAAATAATTTAACTGTAACTGAAGAGTAAACTAAAACTATCAACAGACATTGACTCTAAAGGTTTCTTAAATGAGTTTTCAACAAAAACTATTGAATGACATGTAAATCAAAGCAATTTTTACAGCGCATTGTATGTTGAAATCTCTTTTCTTTTTGTATTTCCACTATTACATGTAAGTTCCAAAGATGCGGTGCGTATATGATGTTATTTTTAGCTACAAGAAGAATGGTTAATTAATAGCTAGTACCGTGGCGTGATATTGCGACTTATAACTTCCCACAGTGGTATCCTAGAGGAACAAAGCCACGCGACGGGGTTTGGGGGTTGAAGGTGGAGGTGTTCAAAGGTAACAATTCAGAAATTGGTTTTCAATTGTAAAATTTAAAGTATGACCCAAGTTTAGTGCAATACACACAAATGTTGTGAAATTCGGAAAAGAATTAAGTGAAAACATTATACACACAATTTTATTGGGGAAATGGAAAATGGACAAATGTTATAAAAAGTTTTGAAGAATGTGAGATAGGGGCAGAGTTTATGTATTTGTGAGAGTTTGGGAGGGGCGGTGGAAAGGGGGAATGGCATGGTTGAAGTGAAAGGTAAATGTAGAGTTAAATAATAATAATGCAGGATTTGGGATAATTAAGATGGGGTAGTGTACGGGTTTATATCAAATGAACGGAAGTTAAGCGAGAATTGGGCATTGATGAGAACAAAAAAATTGCAAACAGGATTTTGAAGGTTTTCGATGATTAGGAAGTGGTATTTGTGTAAATGAGAAAAAAAATATGGAAACGAGGACAAGGAATGGGGAAAGGCGAAAGGAGGGGATAGGAACAAGACGGAAGGAATAAAAAAGAGATGTTAGCACTCAAAAGCATTACACATGATACCACAGATTTTATCACAAGCAACATGATGCATACTTTAGTTTTTAATTTAGTTTTTAATTTATGTTGTTCACGTTTGATGGTACCCTTACATGTACTTTCCCTTGAGTTTTATATGGTTCACTTTCCACTTAAAATCTTTTTTTTTTAAATATGAAATGAGATTTTCATGTTTATTTAGAAACAAAGGACTGGGTATCTAAAACATCTTAAAATGAATAACGTAATATATTTAATCCAGTATTAATGCCAACAACTGCAAGAAATTTGCCTTTCATTATTTCGAAACGGTCAATATACGACCCCATAATAATTGAAACGAATATTAAAAAATAGCCAGACTTCCCGTGCATGTACTCCGACCAAAAAAAAAGTATTGGAATGTTTTTGGAAGATTTTACCATCAAGTTAGAGAATTTCAAGATGAAGATAAAGGAAGGAAACAGAAAAATCAACTACAAGTTTAGAAGAACGGAAGGAAAGAGCATGATTAATGCAAAACATTACATCATCACAATAACATGCAACCAAAAAAAAAAATTGATTTAGTGAGGATGGTTTACATCAACTGTTTGGCAGGTTAACCCTAACCACCCCAACTCCATCAAAATCCATCCCTCCATTTTGGTGGATTTTGGGGGACTTGGTCCAGAAGGCCTGGCGTGACTAAACATTGATGGAGTATGATGGACTTGGGCCTACTGACCTGAAGCAGTGCTAGGGGTATCCGATTGATTTTGCCTAGCTTCCTGTACTGCTATTGTGATAAAAGCCGCGTGCAGCAAGTCCATGAATGTCAACCAGTGCGTCAGTGGTGGATTCCATTATGTCATGCACAGTTTTGTATCGGACGCACAGTGATTGATGGATTTTGATGGACTTGGTCCAGTTCCTAGTAACCGCAATGCTGGACTTGCTGGACTACCATGCACAGACATTCCTGACTGACTCAACAACACAGAGACCTTGTGTACGAAAACTAGAGTGTACATTTCAAGAATCCTGTAATTGTGGTGTTTTGTTCACGAAAACCTTGGAACAGTAGACCCATTGAGCGCAACGGTAATCAACAGCGACGCCCCTGGTTACAATTTGCGTTGTGTCCAAAGAAACCCTACATGTCCCGGTACATGTACGTGTAAATCCGAGACCAAGACCATCAATCAAACCCCCTGTGCACTGCAAGAACTGCTAGCTGCACCCAATTTCACCTTTCAAACAGGTGTTTTTCTTACCCTTTACAAGTCCGCGACTGCCGAAAAACGCAAACAATGGTACTAGCCGGCCATTGTGTTACGCCTCTCAAGAGGTTTTGTGTGCGCGATTTGTGTACAGTTCAGTTTGGGGGCCAGGATAAGTTGTTTTGACTGTCTGTCTGGGTCGGGACCACAGGGTCTGGTTGCGGGAGGAATAATTAGTCTGAGGGTATTCTGGTGGGCTTGTCGCATGGGGTATCCAAGGACCAAAGTTCGACAAACATACGAAGCAACATTTGCGACGGAGGGGACCCCCCCCCTCCCTGTTTGTCATTGTGTTCACAGAATCTCAGGAATTCTTTGAGATATCTAGGGGGACGTGATAGGTAACAACAGTCCCGAGTGGGTGTAGACCATGTAGCGTATAGGGGCACTGGGGGGGGGGGGGGCATCCTCAAATTATGCATGGTGTGAGTAAAAAGGCCTCATCAGGGCAAAACTCTGTTGAGTGAGACAGCTTTGCTTGCACAGTTTATAGCACAATTGTTAGTAGAAGGATAAAAAAGCGAAAAAACTATGCCAAAATATAATGAGATACATGTACGTTTCTTGAAAGCCATGAAACCTCAACATTTTCTATACTTGAAGATGGAAAATGGACCCAATATATGGCAGGACATGTGAGTGTATAAATGTAACGTGCATGTTGGAGTAAAGTTGATTTTCAACATGATTGTGAACGTGAAAGTACATTTTTGGGATCTACATGACAAAGTACATTGAATGGCATTGCAAATTCACACAACGTACAATGTATGCAGTTGAACACGTTTCAACTCTCTGTGAATGTTTACTGATGTGAAATTCGCTTCCCCTTTGCTGCAGTACATACAATGTACATATACATTTTGTATAAACCAATCTTTACAAATGACTTTCATAACAGTCACAACTTGTGAAAATGGCCTAACAAGTCATAATTTTTGTGTGTGCATTCAATACATGAAAGGGTAATGAACTTGTCAAGCAAAGTTCAATGTACATTGTATCACAGGATCCACCGTAATTACAGTGCAATTTACATAGTACACACACATAATGACATGAATGCATTCATGTGCAAACACAAACATAGTGTAGGTGAGATTTCGCTTTGGAACATCCCCCCTCCACATTTGTGTAAAATCAAGAGTTCTCACACCCCTAGTAGGACAACCATGCACACGTGCCCCTCCCAATATGAATCTTAATCTTTCCCCCTGTTGGACCGATGTGATTAAAAAAGCAGCACCAAAGACTGCAGGGTATTTCGTACCGGGTTTGGTGGGGACTTCGGGTGACAATTTTGCCCTGTTGTCCCAGCAACCACTCCTATTATGTACCACCCGAGCATTATATTTTCACGGCTGGTAGTCGCGCCAAGTCAACACGACACCTACTCTCGCGGGGGACACATCATACATGCTTAATGTGCTCAGGGACTGTCTGGCAATGAGCTGTCTTAAACTATCCTGCTTTGACAACTTCTAAAGATTATTTTTGTGGAGACGAGGTTAAAGGGAATGTACAACATTTGCTGCAATTTTCAGAAATAAATGGATTTGGAGGATTAGTATGTTATAGCAAATATTGTTAAAATGACTTGTTTCACGTTTTGGGCTTGTACATTGTAGATGCTGGAAAAACTAAGAAAACCAATCTTATTTTTGTAGTCTGGTTCCCTGACCCCACCTAAAAATTAACACGGAGCAATTTATTGACTTTGGTAATTGTAAGGTCAGAGAATCAGTCGGGCAGGCTTGTACCCCCTCATAGGTGTGTGATCAATTGCAAAGAAAATGCGGAATAACTAATTATGAAATATTAGGAGCAGTTTTTGAAAAAAAAAGCCAGTTTTCTCCAACGCTGGTCGGCTGGTCGGCCGACCAGCGTTCGAAAAATACCATTTTTCTTGAAATGTCAGCACACCAGGAGCCACGATTTTACAGGATGCTTTAGACTGTCATTCCCTAACAATCCAGTAAGGTATGTAGCGATAATTTGATCATTTCGTTTTGTGTTGTTTGCAAATGTTGTATCTTCCCTTTAAAGGGGAAAATATGTTTGTTAACCAAGCATTTCAATACAACCACGCTTACTAAATGCGTGAGATAATATTCCTTGCCTAGTTCTTGTCCCTTTAAGGACAACACCTTTTGTTAGATGCTACACGACCCAATTCTGAGTAATAGTGCAAGACCTAATGTACTTTGTATGTATACTGTATGTACATTTGTAATTTACACAGGCAGGGATGTATTATAATACCAGTTCGGCCGGGATTTTTTTTTTGAAAATGGCAAAATATCGCAAGAGTCATTTCAACAGTATTTGTACGATATTTCTTACCGAAACCTCACATTTGTCAACACTCCGGGGTTTGCAACATTTTGTTTAAATGTGGCTTTAAACATTAGGATATGTTTCATCACAAATTGTAAATTATTTATCAGAGCAGACTGGCACTAATTTGTACATGTAATTAACATTATTTCATTGCTTTCTTTTCTAGATGCAAGTTCCCAAAAGGAAGATTTTACCTCACTTTCAGTTTTACAAATGTATATTTGGCTGCTACAGTGTATGGGCATTCCAGTTCTGGATGCTTCTATCAATTATGCTTACTACAGGATGAAATCGTTCAGATCACTTGTGTTTAATTGCACCCACAATAGGCGTACAGCCAAAATAATCCGCTCAAGTCTGTACATGGACCACTAATTATGAAGCCAAAGAATTAACAAATGCAGCAATCCAGGGGCTGCAGCAACAAATGACCGTCTTCTTAACCAATGTGATGGATCACTTTCAGACTCTTCTACCCCCCCCCCCAAGACCCTTCTTCTCTTTCTGATATATATTGATGGAGGGCACATATACCCATCAGTGAAGTCCATTAGAGATCCACTTCCGTGCATAAATATTTTAAACGGTGCTTAAAGGGCTTCACTAGTTTCCTGCTTCAAGGTCTACTGGTACATGTACATTTTTTTTTAAAGACCACATTTAAAAGAGACTTGATGACTCTTCATTTGTGGAAAATAGTGACGTGTATGCATGACCAATAACTATAGTACAGTGATAGGTGATGGGATTGTGCCTTTGATGACACAAGTACGGAATTTGGCACACAGTCAGAGTATGTCATGAGAAAGATATTTGGCTATAGGGCCATCGCAGATTTGTCCTTCGGAAAAAATACAGGTAGAATAATAAGCAAAGGCTGCCTTTTTGAAAAGTTTTAAAATTGCTTGTTATTGTACACTGTACCCATATTTTTCCAAGGACAAATCTGGCCCTATGGCCAACTATCTTTCTCATGACATATCCTGACTGTGTGCCAAATGGCATGCTTGTATCATCAAAGGCACAATTCTTCCAAATATTTCCCCATCTGCCCTACTACTTAGGCAGAAAATGGACCGAAAGACGGATATTTGACTTTTTCTTTTTTAAATGTCTGCCAAGAGCTCAAGTTCAGATAGATTTATCAGTCGTTGATCTCTTCAAAATTAGGGTTGTTTTTTTTTCATTTGAAGCAACGAAATTGCTCCAAATTCTAAGTACATGTACCGGTAGTATGCATAACAACTAACTTGTTAAAATTTCAGCTCAGTGGATACTATTTTGAAAAAAAAAAGAGAACTCGTATACATGCTCAATTTTTGGTTCTTGTAACTGGATTCTGTTGTTAAAAAATTGTGCCTGTGGGCACATTTGCTTAGATCACTTTCAATGATTGCTTGCATCCAAACGATACCATTTCAGGCGGTATTTCAGGGTATTTGATACCAGTCCCATCTTCACTTTGAGCAAGGATTTTATCGTGAAATTGGTAGGTACGTTTCCAGATAACTGCAAATGTTCTTACACGCCTTCAAGATTAATCAAAATTGTTCATTAATCTATCAAGAACAGCTATATATTTCAGTTCACTGACAAAATTCAAGCAGTTTCCCTTGCAATCTTATTGCATTCTGAAGATCTGCGTATCCATGTCGTCAGTGTGCTTTCCATTACCCAAGTTCTTCGACTTTTTGTCTGGTTACCATGGCTACCACAGAGGAAATTTTTCACGCCATCCATTCACGAAAAAAAGAAAATCGATCCCAACTTTGTCTCTATCCAAAATCTTAAGTGTATTTGCTGTTGTGGTCGCGCGTCAAGTGCTAACGCCGTCTTAAACCCACTTGACATTATTCAAGCACATGCAGTGCTTTGTAATAAGAGCACACCACTTGGAACACTTGACATTGGGGCCTGCCCCTACAGCCTTAAGGCAATGCTGAATCTCATTTGGAACATTAACTTGCTGCTCGGAGAATGGAAACTAACCTGAACTGTACATTTACATGTATAGTTCCCAGCCTTCATTTCAAAAACAGCTCAAATTACCGATGCAACTTGGCCAATAACCAGCGCATTTGGAATTCAAAGTGTTTGATTTTGAATGGGGGGGGGGGGAGTGTTAGGTCTTTAAAGTTTAGAGGGGATTAGGTCAAAGTTTCTTTTCAAGTCAATCTCTTTGGGAGTTCACAATGAATGTGAACATGTCTTGCATACTCTGAAATTTCGTTAAAAGAAAGTAAATTTTCCAGTCCATTCACCTAAAATTTCCTTGCAAGCCGAATGAGTTTATAAAAGATGGGCCACTCCTGATGACCATGAACTTTGATTAGGCACTAGTTTATACCGAACCCGCTGTGTTGAACAAAAAGAATTCACAGACAGAAAGTAACTGCCCTGAATTGGATTTCCAGTTCACTAGTTTCTGAGAAACTCAACAAAAAAATTCCCAACAACGTTTTTTTTCTTAATTCAACTTCATTTAACCCATTGAAAAATGACCTCAAAATGGACATGTAAGTACCGCAAAAAGAGCAAAAATCATTCGATTGAATAACCCGGTGCATACACGTACATGTAAATATAGAGCGTGAAGCATAATGGTCCAATAATTTTGAGCCCCTCGATGTATTTGCATGAGTGCATCTTTTACAAATCGACCAGACTCACGGGCTGAGTGTTATTCAATCGCAACTTTCAGGGGAAAGCCACTTGGGAGATCTCAAATATCAACCCCTAGAGACAGGTACGTAGCTGCTCACGGGGAGTTAAACAAAAAAAGCCGCTACGGGGGCTGATATATTACATGTAATACATCACGGCTTTAAGGTCCATGCGTATTCATTTGAGAAAGGGGATATGTTATGAAGTTTGCCGCAAATGCTCTGTGACATCAAATTAACTTAGTATTAACATTTGCATGAAGTATTGAATGAAATTGCTTTTTTTTGGTTAGATATTACAAAAAGATATCATTTCAGAGAGCAGGTGTGGGGCTGAAGCATTACAGATTACTTTTTAGCAATATGTTTGGATGGGGAAAACTAAATGTCTGTGAGATTTCTGACAAAATATGGAAGCAATTGGATTAGATTGATTAGATTGACTTTGCGTTGGGGAGATGTAAATTCAATGTTGGCATTTGCCCTTCACCAATGTACGTGAACCGTATTTTATAAAAAATAAATAGTGTTGTCCAAGGACTTGCAAGAAAAAATTCGGAAGCTCACTCGGGTGGGACTCGAACCCACAACCTCCTGATTACTAGTCCAGACGTCTAACCACTCAACCTCTGAGCTGGTTTAAAACTATTACAGCAGTGGTTACCGTAACAAAACTATTTATCAGATGGAAATATTGCAGAGCGGGGAGCGGTTGGCTAGTTGGTCTTGAAAAATTTTTGGAAGGCTATAGCCCCCAACCTTTTTTATAACTGTACATGCCTGTAATCACTTAATCTTGTTGCACAATCAATTTATTCTTCAATTTGTTGAAATAATGTAATTTTCTTCCAATATATTATCCAATAATGGAGCTTTTTCAAAGGAGTGGGCTCGAAAGCACATTTACAGCCGCCGCCTTTAAGAAGACTTAGCTATGATTCTCCTGGCCATTTGCCGCGTCAACGACCACTCCGTTCTGCACTCTCGTATCTTCCTTCTAAGGGGTGTGAATCAATTATGAGCTAGTGACACTACCGTTCAGGGAAGATAAACACGGCCTTACCGTTACACTGTGCGGTCTTTTCCGAGGGGAATAAGCACCACACTCGGTTGCTGCCAAAATGACATTAAGACTTAAAACCTGTTTGCGAGCCCATGCAAAAATTATAATTCCTGAGTTTTTTGGGGGGAAGAAGGGTCAACATCCATTTAGGTGTCTCAGACATGTGCAGCATCCACTGTAACCCAGGTTTTTAAATTTTAGTTTGTTGGTTGGTCTGTCTGTTCATGTTTGTTTGTTTGTTTGTTTGTTTGGGTTTTTTTTTGATTTTTGGGAGGATTGGGTTGGTTTGGGATGGGGGTGGGGTAGGGTCAAGGGAAGGGAATGGGGAAAGAGTTTTGGGGATTGTGCAATGGGAGGTATCCCACAATTCGTGTCCATTTCCATGTCAAATGCCAACTTGCAATTCTGCCAACTTAGTCAACTGTACGAACACAATGGATGTATCTCAAACTCTTGGGAAACAAAAGCTCAATAAGGCAATCATCCAATGTTCAATGCCGACAAGTTTCACATACATGGACATTTACATGAGGTGATGCGTTGTTCTTCGCCGACTTCAAACCTCATTTTTGTCCATAAACAATGTAAGCCAAGCTTCTTTTTTTTTTTTAAGTGAGGCATACAAGGGCAGTAGAGATGACCTACGGTACATTTGCGCATGTCAAGGGTTCGGCGAAACACGTACATGAATTATCAAAGGACGTTAGGCTGACGGAACTCCTACATGTACTTATTCTTTAAAAGGTAGCCCCCTCTAAAGTTTTCTAGCCAAGTTGGGTACTCCAAATGGTGTACCCTCTGACCCTTGATGCTGACCTCTGACCCTTTTGACCCACCTGATGTGCTGGGGAGTTATCTGTCTTCAGTTCCTGGTGGTCAGAGAACTGGACAAAGACCGGCTTGCCGTGAAGGTTTGTCTGGACCTGGTTGTAGTAGGCAATCATCTTGGTTGATTGGCTGACGTCCGCTAGCTCTATGAAGGCCTGAAAACAAAAAAAGAAAAAACACCATCACAGTAACAAAAAATCATAAACCCTAAACTTCCTCCATCCTCCAAAATCAATCAGGCAGTATTGGAGGATTTTGGAGGATTGAGGCTGAATGGCAAAAAGTGTCAGTTTGGAGGATGCATTGTTTTGAATTTGTTGGCTGTGTCCTGCATTGTTTATGTTCAGCCATGCGTAATTGAGGCCCATATTAGACTGAATATCATCCGCACTGCTCCTGCATATCGTCCTCACTGCCTCAAGTCGGAGTCGACTTTAGAAATTGTAATGCCATTTCGATAAGAAATGTGGACTAAGCTGTTGATTGGTCAATTTGGCTACCATGTTTTTGTAGTACAACAGGTACCGAAGACCTGATAGAAGGCGCCCGCTGAATGGTCCAAATCTCAAGGTCAAGACGTAATCTTGTTTTGCATAATTAATCGCCACATCTGCTCCCATGTCATGGACCCTTGCTGTGCAAGGGGATATGCCATAGACTAGGTTTGAACCTGCGACCTCAGGATTGCCATTCTGGTGCTCTACCAACTGAGCTATCCCAACCCTACGGTATGTTGGCGGTTCCCCATTTTGTCAATGTTTTTGTTCAAGGGGAGCTAGAAACCATAAACCCGTATATGCCATGAAGCCAGGGATCACACCCAGGCTCATGATGCTAGCAACATTGGCAATGCTGCAAACCAGGAAATAGCAAAAGGGGATCACTCAGAGAGGATACCACTTTTTACTACAAAAGTTTCAAAGAAACCACAAAGGGAAACTGACTACATTGTAGGTGCATTTTACAAAAATAATCATACAAGTAGTCGAACCCTGATAAGAAGAGCACTGTTAATACAAGGTCCTGCTTATAACAAGCAAAATTTGAGGTCCCAAGTCTTTGTTTTCCTTTGTTTTCCATAACTGTTAATACAAGGTGCCTGTTATAACATGGTAATTCGTAAAGTCCCAAGGACCTTGTTATAAAGGTGTCCGACTGTATACTGGCGAGGCTAGCATTTTTCAACAATGGAAAATTTGAAACGTGACAAATTTTGGTTGTTAACCCATATTTGCTTAATCAGATATCGTCCGTGCTTAGTAGATTTCTGCAGCTCCTTGTAAATATCCCTCTTGCTCCCCACGTACCTGGCCTTTGTTTCTGATGCACAGGACTTTGCTGATGTTCCCAAACGGCGCGCCTAAGCTGACCACCTCGGCCTCGTTCACGTCGGGAGCTAGGTTGCGGATGTGGACCACGCGAGATGGGGGCGCCGCCTCCCTCTTCACCTGAAACGGGTCAACGAGAGACAAACAATGGCAAATTAAACTTAGTCTGACAAAGGGATGTAATAATAGTAATAATAATGTGCTATAGCGCTTTACCACTGGTCTCAAAGCACTTTACAATGATTACCCCTGTTCATGAGACCAGTTTTTGCAGCAGTTTGAGATCAGCGCATTCTAGTCTCTACCTTCACATGTACCAAATACACCTGGGTGGAGAGAGGCAATTGTAGTAAAGTGTCTTGCCCAAGAACACAAGCACCATGTTCCCCTTGAGGGTTTGAACCCACTTACATGGTACCATGGCACATGAGTTGAACACCACATAGCCCATGCATTGGACCACAGCACTCCACGAAGGAAATTTCTAAACCTCTGAGCCAAATCATACCTCACTTGAATGCAAATTCAGAGTGAATGTGACGTCGCAAAACCTTTGCGGTGCAATATTTCTGCCAAGTATGAACGAAAGCCACAGGCTTGCAGAAACATTGACAACATTTTAGGATAGCACTGTAAATATACATGATGTACATGTACGTACGTGTACTATATTTTTATATTTTGCAAACTGTGTGAAGTTCTCAAATAGAATAGTTTCGAGTGAAAGACTTCCAAAGAATTTTTAAAAATGACTCTAAAGACCACATCATACCAGGGAAGGGGCAAATACTAATGTCATGTATAAAGCTACATGTACCGTGTTTGTTATGTAAAATACAATGTTTGTGAAGCAGCTCATATTGCCAAAACATACATTTATACTTAACATGTAACCAGTTTTCTTATTGGCTCATGAACAAAACACAACAAATTTTCCTATTGGCTGAATGAAGACACGTAGCCGAATTAAAAACTTTTCCTCCTTGCACGCAATATAAAGATTTATTTTCTGGCCAAAACACAAAAAAGCTAGAATTCTGGCTATAGCCTAGAAACCGGCACCCTTGATTATAAAACACACCATAAAACAAAACAAACAACAACAAACCCCAACAAAAAAACCCAAAGATTCCAGACTGAAAAATACTTTGAAGGTCCAATCATTGCAACCATAATACCAACTATATCAAAATGATTTTTCACTATCCACTATGTACAAATAACAGGCTTGTCTTTTTTGTGTGTGTGACTCAACACAAATATGGTACATCCATCAATAAAGAAATGGTCCTAGAAAGAAAGAAAAACAATTGAAGGCTGGCCTTGCAAATCACACTGCACTGTACAGAGTATTTGTCATCATCTAATTACACTGTACAGAGTAAGTAATGTCTCATAATGAGCGTCCATTGTCCTTCCTTCATCTAGGAACAAACCGACCGTGCAAATTTGTTTGTTAATTGGTTGTTCTTAAGAAGGCAATATACACGTAATTCACGACAAAGTAATAATTCCGTAATGCTGTGGCAATAATGCCTGATTGTTTTCTGTAAGGAGTCTGAAACGGTGCGGGGGGGGGGGGGGGGGGGGGGCCATCAACCACAAATATTCACGTAAAATTTCATGTACATGTGCAGGGTGAGTAAAAAAACGCGGAACCCAAACCCAAAGAAATATCTTTAATATTTAAAAATATAGTAGCACCAAAAATAATTATGACTGGTAAGCCGATTTAATAAACTACTTTTAGATGACAAAATTACTTCAACTGCTCAATCCGTTCAAATTACAAATATGACCATTTACACAAAATGACCCTAAAATCTGTTTTTTCCCAAAATGCGATTTCAAGAATTGTTGTTACAATCGTCTTCAAACATCAACAGCAATAAAACCTCAGTTTAACAGTTAAAAATATTCAACTAAATCCTTTTGAAGGCCCTTCTTTTAAAAATAAGTGGTGTTTGTAAATCCTATTGTTAGCCAAAGCAGGGTTGTTAATAAAGATATTGTGTACTACAGTTGTTGAAACAAGTATTCTGTGTCATTTTCTTTGTTGTTCCAAATAGTCAGAACACACAATGAATTGCTTTTCAGACGAAACTCATTGCAGGGTTACTTCGTTTAAATAGTGATAGCGGTTTAACGTGTAGAGCAATTGAAATAATTTTCTCGCTTAAAAGTAGTTTAATAAATGGGCTTCCAAGTCATAATCAATTTTGGTGCCACACATTTTTTTTTAATAGGAAATATATTTCTTTGTTTTTGGGTCCCGCTTTTTTTGGACTCGCCCTGTACACGAAGCATTTCCATATGTGCACTTAATTGGAGCCGTTATTAGCAGGCAGTGTGTGAATGTTACAAAAAGAGCTCCAGCCTTGAGTTTATATTTATATGCAAAACAGCAACAGGTGGTTATTGGGGATGGAAAAAAAAGCAAGGCAATAGATGATTAGTGATGAGTACTGGAAAGTACATGGCCCACTGGTGAATCCTATTATTACTTGTGCAAAAAAACTGGTCTGTGCACATGTAGCATAAATTGAAACGGTAGACTGCCTATTGAAATGTATACCCAAAATTGATGATTAGTTTCATTCTTTTTTTTCTGAATATTTTATGGTTTTTCATTTTGCTCGGCAGTGTGCTTTGTGTCAATTTTTTTCCACTTGCTTGATACATGCACCAGTGACTGCCAAATTAAATTAAATGTCTGAATACAAGACTAAATTTGACTGATTTGAATAAAAAAACACACCAAAAAACAGTAACAGATTTACGTATACCGGCTCATATAGGGCTGTTCCGAATATACCAATTTCTCGAATATTTGATCATCAACCAAACATTTGAATATCTTTTTTTGTCGGTTTGAAAATTTGAGGGAAAAAAATGTATGCGCGTACACACATGACAGTGACACGTATATTATCGTAAAGTTGCGGCGCTTCATTGTCAGGTGCCACGTTTCTGTTGACGGGAACTTTTGTCGATGGCGATTCATTGTTCCCATCCTTTCAGTTGACAGTTACAGTATAAAATCAAAATACAAGTTCCTACTGCAAAACATTCCAGCTGCCCATATCAATCGCCGTACGTAATTTTTAACTGGCACGGTCTGCGCGTGCAGCTTTTGACCAGCTGGCAGTTTCGTATATCCGAATATTCGGTCAAACGCAGTTTCGAGTAATTGAATACTAAATTATTCGAGAATGGACAGCCCTACATGTACATGTACATGTACATTTACATGTATACCATGCACTGTACAAAAAGTTCCAGGAGGTACATGTACATATACATGTAGCGTGTAACCCAATGAGGCAATTTTCTTTACTTGACCTGACTTCACGCAAATTAACTCGATTCTTCAATCATAGATGCACAGTGAACTTAACGTTCACGTACTGGGGTCACATGTAGATGTTCATATATACGTGGGCGTTTTCATATATTTAAACCGTGGACGAAAAATGCCAGAGAACAATTTTACTTTTAGAGAACAATATCGTCAACGATTGCCAGAATACGTCCGCGATTGGGGTCGTGTACAAAACCTATGGGAGTCTTCCTAAAAAGTTAAAGTACAAACAAAAGAGGGACGTCCATGATCGACGGTGTGAACGCGCTTGTGTGAAAAAGTACATGTACCATGTGATCCTTTCATTCAGCTTCATGTTCATGTACATGTACATGTACTTTTTTTAGGAAAGGCTTTACATGTACATGTATTACAAGTACATGTAGGGCAGATTAATATGGAGAGATTTGTCCTTGTACAGTGTAGATGTACCTGTATACTCATACTGCCAAGCTGTCAGATCTGTTCATACAAATTAATTGATCTAAGTACAAGGTGCAACAACAGGCTAGTCCCATGTCCATAACACCTGTTGTTATTGGAGCCCTGGCTGAATCACCCAGGTTCGGGAAATTAACCGGTTTCACAGAATTGTCATGAATGCAGAAAATACCGCGCTGAGCATAAGGTGGGGGACAAGCTAGAATTAGTTGGGAACCAGCTAAAAGCTGTATAATCCACTTAGCATTTTTTGGCCGGTGAACCGTTTCTGCTCAACGTGTTAAGCAGTTCTGGGCCCAATTTCACGGCTCCACTTTACCATTACCAAGAAATCCCTGCTTACTGCTGCACCAGAAAATTCTGTGTTTTAAGGGTTACCATACATTGTGTATGTATATCACAGGTTAGCGAGGATAAAGCAATATCACAAGTTAGCGAGATTTCTACCTCCATGGTACATCCAATAACTACCGATATGCATGCTTACAGGGTTAGCATCAAATTATTTTGCCAATGCTGTTGGCACAGAATGGTGATCGGCGATCACGGAATTCTGTGGCAAGCGCAGGGCCATGAAATTGGGCCCTGATGGCCTCGGCACGTGACACGGAGGAAATTCCAACCTGTACGTGACCGAGATAAACAATTTACCATTGAAATATACCTTGATAAAAATAGGGCTTTCTCCACACACAAAAAAAGCTTTAAAACCTAGTATCAATGGACAACGTAGAATTAAATAACCAAAGCAGCAAAGAAACAGTTACATGTATACACATGTACCTAGATCAAAGCGATATCATTACTGGTAGGGAATGTACAACATTTGCTCTAGCTGCAATTTTCAGAAATAAATGGATTTGGAGGAGTAGTATGTTACAGCAAATATTGTTAAAACTGACTTGTTTCATGTTTTGGGCTTGTATATGCTGGAAAAACCAAGAAAACCAATCATAGTCTGGTTCCCTGACCCCACTTGAGATGAACAGAGCAATTGATAGACTTTGGGGAGTTGTACGGTCACTAAATCAGTCTAGCAGGCTTGTACCACTTCACAGGTGTGTACAATCAATTGCAAAGACAATGCGGAATAACTAAATATGAACAATAAGGAGCAGTTTTTGAAAAAAAAGCCAGTTTTCTCCAACGCTGGTCGGCCCACCACCGTTGGAAAAATGTAATTATTCTTGAAAATGTCAGCACACCAGGAGTCATGAATTTACAGGATGCTTTAGACTGTCATCCCTAACCAGTATTTCGCGATAATTTGATCGTTTCGTTTTTTGATGATTGCTTTGTAACAAAGAAATGTATTTAA